GCCTTGAGCAACAAGTCTAGCCTTGTTTCTCACTATATTACCACTCTCATCAAGTTTATTCCTAAATACCCATCTAATACCTTCAGTAGATTTATTACTAGGCCTTTCAACTAATGTCTAGACTTTACTTCTCTCAAATTGATTTAACTCTTCTTCCATAGCCATAATCCAATGTTCATCTTTTAATGCTTCTTTAATATTCTTAGGCTCTATGCATGAGATAAATGTAACATAATTACAAATATTTCTAAGAGAAGATCGAGTTGTTACCCCTTTGGATGGATCACCTATAATCTCACCATCCTTGACATAGTTGTACTCTCTTGGGTAAGATACTTCCCTTTCTTCAATGGTTGGATTCTTGAGAGGATCTTGAGTTTCCTCATATTTCGTTTCTTCCTTTGATGATGGTCAACGTCATGTTCAACGTTATTTATATTTATAATACCTACATCATCATTCAAAGAAGAATCCTTCCTCAGAAGGAATTATCATCGAAAACAACATGTATAAACTCTTCTACAACTAAAGTTATTTTATTAAATACTCGATAAGCTTTAGAATTTAAGGAATAACCCAGAAAAATTTCTTCATAACTTTTAGCATCAAATTTGCCAAGATTGTCTTTATCGTTGTTTAAAACAAAACATTTACATCCAAATGATGAAAATAGATAATGTTAGACTTTTTATTTATGAAAATTTCATATAGAGTTTTCTTTAAGATTGGCCTAATTATTACTCGATTTACAACATGACAAGCGGTATTTGTGGCTTCTGCCCAAAAATATTTTGGCAAATTGTTTTCAAAAAGCATGGTTCTAGCCATTTCTTCTAAAGTTTGATTTTCTCTCTCAACAACTCCATTTTGTTGAGGGGTTCTAGGTGCTAAAAAAGTATGGCTAATACCATTAGAATTACAAAAATCAATAAATCCAAGATTTTCAAATTCAGTTTCATGATCACTCCTAACACTAGTTATAGAGTAACCTTTTTCGTTTTGGATTACTTTTGAAAACATGATGAATTTTTCTAATGCTTCATCTTTATTACTTAAGAATAGAACCCAAGTATATCTAGAATAGTCATCTACCAAGACAAATGCATATTGTTTTCCACCCAAGCTAGTAGTCCTAGTTGGCCCAAAAAGATCTATATGGATCAATTGTAATACTCTACTAGTTGATACATCATTAATGGATTTAAAAGAAATTCTCTTTTGTTTTCCTTTAGCACAAGCATCACAAATTTTATCATTATCAAATTTAAGCTTAGGCAACCCTCGAACTAAATTTCCTTGAATTAGCTGTTGCAAAACACTCATACTGACATGTCCTAGTCTTCTACGCCATAACCAACTATCATGCTCATCCTTAGCAGCTATGCATAAATTAGTCATATCAATGGAATCTAAATGCACCATATAAATGTTTCATATTCTATGACCAACAAGCATAATCAAAGTAGATGCAATGTCAATCAATTTTGCAAACACTTAATTCAAAAATAAGACATTGTATCTTTTGTCAAATTCACATATTCGGATTATGCTTTAATCCATTCACATACAAAACATTATGCAATGTTGATTATTGAGATTAAGAGCACATGCATAAAGTTTTTGAAAATGTTATGCATTAAAACTTTATAATATTTAAACAAAAATCTATGCATAAACATTAAGAAAAATTTAAGGTCAAAATTTTGCAAAACCAAAGTTCTTGAAAAATCGATATCAATTATATTTTTAAAAAAAATTGACCAAAAATTAATATGATGAATTAAAGTTTATAAAAATATTGCCAAAAATTACTATGTTCATCATACAATATTTTTCAACATGCATGAGATAAAACATAATTATTCAACATTTAAAACCTCATGCATGCATAAACTAAATGAGCAACCAAATAGAATAATTACATTAAGTTTAGAGGTTACCCATTTCTTTTTCATGTGTGGCAAGAGCATCTTGAATATCATCATCTTCATCACCATTGCTCCCACACACCTACAACAGACATTTAAGTAGATTTTGGTATCCAAATTGCATTGGATCCATGAATGTTAGTTTCAATGCCCCTTGTTCCTTTTGGAACCCATACTTGCTAATTTTAAACCTTTTTCCTTTCTTTAAAGGACAAGTATGTTCCTTATGACCATGATAATAACAATGTGAACATATTGTCATTATTGAACTAGATGAATTATTTAAAATGATCTATTTTTCTTTTGTTAAGCATTCAAGCTTAACTTTCAAATTAAAATTTTATTTTTCAATATTTTCAAATTTCATTTTTGAAAGTTCTAAATCCTTCTTCAAGAGTTCATTTTGATTTTCAAAATCCATTTTCGTTTCTAGAAGAAGTTTGTTTAATTTGAAAATTTCTTTTTCAAAATTTTTAGATTTTAGTTTTGAAAGCTCTAACTCCTTTTTCAACATTTCATTTTGTTTTTCCAAGTCTGTTTTAGCTTTCAAAAGAAGATCATTTTTATTTAGAAATCAAATTCTTATATTTGGAGTTCATGGTCTCAAACTCTGAAAATAATTCATCATAAGCATCTTGTAACTCATTAAAAGATTTTGAATTTAATTTATTTGAGTTAGAAGATACCTTTGGCTCTGTGAGAGCTAATAGAGACATCACCTTTATTGGTTCTTCTTCTTCTTTGTCTCCATAGATATCCTCAAGCTTATCCCACATTTCCTTGGCACTTGAACAAGAAAAAACTCCTTCATATACATTAGGATCAATTGCACAACATAACATGTTCATAGCCTTTGTGTTTTGTTGAGCTTTCTTCTGTTCTTGATCACTCCACTTCTTTGCCTTCTTCGTAGGAGAGGAATATCCTTTCTTGATTATCATCCAAGCTTCCATATCAAATGTTTGGATAAATATCATCATAAACCTCTTCCAACGATGATAATTTGTCCTGTTGAAGTGTGGAGGCACATCAATTGGTCTGGACTCTTCCATGGAGAATGAACCGGAAGTGGACACCATCTTTATCGATTTAACTCTTCCCGAATCGAATCAAGAGGTGATTAAACCTTCAAATGAGTGAGGCTCTGATACCAATTGTTGAGTTAATCGATTGACGGAATAGGCCAAGAGGGGGTGAATTGGCAATTAAAATTTTGGTGGAAGCTTTTGCATAAAATATAAAATAATTGCACAGCGATTTAGAGTGGTTCGACTTTCTTAACCAAAGTCTACGTCCACTACCTTAGCTATCCACACTAAGGATTTTCCAACAAATTCACTAATATGTTCTTTCTTTTTAGGACAAAGAGTAACTTTACAACTCCCTCAAGAATTATACCCCAATTCTTTAGCACACTCTTTTTCAAAGAGAAATACACAAATTTGTAAACTTACAAGGAAAACCTCACAAGGCAATATGTTTGCACAATTCTAGAACAAGATAAGAACACTCAAAGATAATTACAATTGAGCACAATTTGTTTTCTTGAAAGAAAAATGAATATTGAAAAGAAATTTGGCTTGAATTGCACAAACTTGATGTTTGATGCTTTCTCTCTTGTTTCTCAATGATTTCTTATTTCTTGTTATTGATCAATGTCTTCAGAACTTGTTTAAATACTCCTTCAAATGATTCTGAACGTTGGGGATGCTTAGTGAAGTCAATATAGCCGTTTAAGTGTGAAAACATTTAATAAATTCAGTTGGGAGCGTCATTGCATCGATGCATACTCATGGTGCATCAGTGTAAAATTCAAATATTTTAACTGTTGGACCCTTAGTGCACCGATGCATTAAGTGCATTCGATGTTTCAAAATAGCCAGAGTGCATCGATGCATGGCTGGTGCATCGATGCATCAAATGCATTTGATGTTTTCATAAAATCCTCAGTGCGTCGGTGCATGGTATGTGCATCGATGCATGAAATGCATTCGATGTTCAATTTAATTCATAGTGCATCGATGCATGGATTGGTGCATCACTCTGAAAAATTGATTTTAGGCTTGATTTTGGTTAAAAATACTTTGTGGAAATTGTTTCAAAAATAATTTAAGTATAAAACACAATTTTACACATTTAGTAAGGTTTGAAATGATCTTAAAAGACTTGGAGTAATAATTTGATATTCGATTAATTGAATCGAATATACTTTAGAAAATCATTTGTAAAATCTTAAAATTTATTTAAACTTATTTTGTTATATCGAAATATCAAAATGTTTTCAACAACTCTAAAAAAATTAAAATTTTCTTCAACGACCCACTTTCGCATCTATGATTGAATGATATACATTTGATGTTATGATAGAAATGAATATCATGCGCAGAGGTGAGCAAAACTCTACTTGACTAAAAAAAATTGATTTGGTTGATTAAATTCGATTAATAAAACTCGAATCAAATTAACTTTGAGTTGTAATTTCATAAACTCGACTAGAATAAAATTTCAAGTTCAAATCAAGTTGTAAAATACAACTTGAGTAACTCGAATTACTCAAAAATTTTAGTAATTAGTGGATTCATTTTTAAGTTTGGGTCGAGTCTCTCAACTTTGTATGATATATGTATATCACATATGAAAAAAATATAAAGAAATACATATGTGTTATATGTGTTTATAAAAAAGTCATTTAAATTGAAATCAAATAATATCATAATATTATAAATACCAATAATTAAATTTATATAGAAATTCAAAAATTCGTTTCGGCTCTGCTCGAATTTTAAAAACTAGACTCGACTCGAAAAATTTCAAATCAACTTCGAGTTATAAAATAAGAGTCATCAACTCAAATAATTTAAAATGTTTTTACTCAACTTAATTCAACTCTATTGAACGCTAACCCCTAATCATGAGTATAACATAAAAATTTTGTCTACTCAAAAAAATTTAAAAAAAAATAGGGATGGAATTAAAATTATAAAAAAGAAAAAGAAAAAGCAGGGATGGGTTATATAACAAACAAAAACAGCAGGCTAGAAGGTAAACGTATATTTCACCCTTTGTTTTGACCACTATCAATTCCACACTTAAAACATATCTATCTATCTATCTATCTATCTATATATATATATTAGTTTTACACATCCACACTACATTTTATTTTTCCCTTTTCGATGCTGCTTTCACCAAAAGGAAAGAAAAACGATACTAATGCGAGAGTCTGTTGATGAAGGCCAATGCATTGCTGGTTAAGTGAGCCACTCTGGCAATATTACTCCGAATAGTGTCTTTGATTTTTCCATTAATTGCTTTGGTTTCATTCCCCTCCATGCACGTATCTTCATCTGTCAAAGCAGCACTAACCCAAGTCTGTATATTGCTCATTTTCATCTGAAATTCAGGGCCCTCTAGACCCTTCATTTCAGCCATCGATTGGTGCAGCTCATCCACAGAGTCTCTCATGGTCTCCACACAATCAGCTATGACAACCGTTTCTCCGCGCGTTAATCCATGCTCTTTCGACAACCTCAGTACCAGTGTCGAAGTCGATTGCGCGTTGTTGAGGCTTACGGAGAGAGCGGTATTGGCGAGTTCCCGAGGGCTGGTCTGGATGGTGCTAGCATAGGCTGAGAGTGACTGGTAGCATATGTCGGGATACATCGTCACCTCACATGAAGTTTTAACAAAATCAGTATTGGAAGTCTTCGATTGTGGTTCTAATCTAGCAGCCGAGGTAGGGTTTGCAATACATAAGAATAAAGCGAGGGCGGCAGTGGCTTGAAGGGCATATAATTGGAAAAAGGACAGTTTTGATATTGTAAAATACTCCATTGTTGTAGTATTAGTAGTAGATTCTAAGTGTCTTCAACGAATCGATGAAGATGGAATGGAGAGAGAGAGCACACATTATAACTAATATGTAAGGAATGGGCAAATGGCAAAGGTGGGTGTAAAGGCAAGTGGGACTGGGAGGGGCAAGCAAGTAGGCCCGGGTGAACTCCACCAATAATTGAATAGCGAAAAAACAAAACGAAGAGATAGGATTGGTTAGAACACAACTAGAGTTTTTTTTCTCGAACACAACCTTCATCTTCATCTTCCTCTTGTTTGTCTTACCAAAAAATTCTGAGAAGCTAGAATTGAGTTGGGTCAAAATTTCACTCCCAAAATCAGATTAGATAGAAATATATATTATTTGAATAATAGTAGAGTATTGTACAATAAATCGTGACACATGGTTAATAAACATATTAATAATAATAATTTATGTGAATTGATGAATATATTTATATTTTATTTAAAATTACATCCATTTAATCATATCTATCAGTTTTTCAATAATTGTTTTCATCAAAATTCAAGTCTCTTCATCACATGGTCTTAACTTTCCATCAAATAGTCTTAACCTATCAATTCATTTTATCTTCAATATATAAAAGCTAGTTGCGACATAATTTAGACACAACTTAAAAAAAGGAAAATACTTAAAAAATTCAATCTTTCTAGAGATAGAAAAAGACAAGATTATGTTCTACTAACTACTATTATTGTGCTTACTAATGTGATTTTTTCTTGTTGTATCTTAAAAATCTGACATCAAACATTATTCAAAACACATACAAAAGAACGGATATGTCTTAAAAAAATCTACTCATACACCTCAGCATCTTTACCTATTCAATTTTATTTCCGCATAGGAGGAAAAAAATTATTCATCTATTTTATTTTAATTAAATGTATTTGTCTTAATTATGATGTTAATGTAGAGAAAAGTGGTAAAAAAATAATATAACTTCATCTAGACTCATGAAAAAGGCTGGTCATCCATAATAATGATAATAATTAAAGAAATTGTTTTTTTAAATGAAATTTAGACGTCCTCATCTTGCTAACTAGATATTTTTATACCAATTATTATGCAATATAATATAAATACATTAATAACCTTGTCTATTTTAATAACGAACCCACAAGATATGACTGGCACCATTAAATAGCCTACCTCTTATATGTAGTAGCAAAAAGACGAATGATAATTTGAAGACAAGACTGGCGTTGAAGGTCCCAACCATGACCATGAGGGCCAAACTGTCATAATTTTCGGACCCGCGACGCAATATGTCCATGTTAATTTAAAGACGTTTCCTCATTACTTTCCATAGAAAATAAAATACGTTCCCACATGCATGCATTTTCTTATTTATTTATTTTTAACCAAACATGCATGCATTTCCAAAGAATTTATATTCCTTTTTGGCAGCTACAAGAGTTTAAGGAGCAAGAACGACCCTCTGCCAGATTAAATTTTCAATCAACGTCTAACTAAATTAGAATAAATTCTAAATCCAGCTTGGTTATTACGGAATATATTTTACATATATATCATTAGTAAACTCCAACAAAAGTGGGAAATTTTTTGATTGAGAGAGATAAAGAAACTGTAACCCCTTAGATCGATGTGGGTGGCTCGATCCGATCTGGGTGTACATTAGGGACACCAGAGTGACCCACCGTAAAAATCTCAGAAAATTTAAATTTTTTATTAAAACTTGTAAAAATCATAAAATCAATTTATAAACATAACCGTAAAATTTAATATTATTTAAAAATAAAATAGAGCACAGACTCAGATATAAAAACAAAATACAAGTTACAAGCCCCCTAATCACATGCACCATGCTCCGCAGGCAACGCCGATGAAACTCCCCTACTGACGTCGATAGTTGTATTGGTTCAATTGTCTTAACCTGAAAAGGGTAAGTAACAGAGTGAGCTTTGGAAAGCTCAGTAATACAGAACTGCCAAATGATGTTTAAGAACATGCATATAACATATAAGTATATGTTTCCTTAATGGTTTAGACATCTACAACCTTTTAGGCTGAGCTGAGGTCCAATTGATATCTCAGGTAGTAACATAAAGTAAGCTTTTAGTTCATAGGGAAATATTTCGGATGTCTGGGTTCTTGAGATCAGAATAGGTTGTCTAGTGTGTTCCCACAAAACTAGTGAAAATGTCAATATTATTTTTAAAACAGTATTAGTTTAAAATGTATCTTTAAACCATAGTAAAACCCTCCAACCGAATGCCATATGCAAGGAATTACCATTCGGTGCAGAACCTATACAAGGAATTATGAGCAGTGAATGAACCTGGCAGAGCCTTTATACAGATCCCAGAGTACCCCAAATAAAACATGTTCAGTCAATATACAGAGATATCAGAAATCATAGCAAAGACCAGAACAAAAATCAAAGAAAACATCCATGTGATCAAGGAACACACTAGAGGTTCCAGATATTATTCGAAGATACTGGATAATCCTATCGGGCAGAGAACCATGGATCTTCGGTATAATGATAAAATTTCAGAAATTAGAATCACTAGCTGACGTAATTATAAGTTATTCAGAACATGATTTATCAGGATCATATAGTATTCACACATTTTTAGGAGGCACTAAATAATCAAAAAGTTATTCAGAATCTTTTGCATATGTGTTACTTGTGTTTTCATATATGACTAGAGTGATTCCATTATTCAGGAACATCAGAACCATTTTGGGCATTAGATTCTTGGAGGATTCAAGTGATTCGAGGCATTAACGATTTGTGTCGACCTATCGAAATATCGGGTCATCCCGAACTGTACAAGTCCCATCAATGATACTTGTCAACCGGTCAAATCGTTGCACTTCTAGAGTATTCACTTTTTAAAACAGACAATTCATGTCAAATTGTTCATCTTCAGAATCATCTCAGAAAGGATCTTAGGGACGGTACATCATGTAAGTTCGTCAACAATTATAGGCTTATCCAAGTCACTCACTTAACATTAGGTCATTGAGGGTACTTAGGTCATTTAGTAGTCAAGTTTACCTCAGTCACTTCGGAGTTTAAAGAGTAATTCTATCATTTCTGAAATTCAAATACATATTGTACTTCCATTCCATTTAACTTGGTCATATAATATAGTCATATTGGTATTCGAGGTTAATTTTTTCATTTTAGAGCTGAGGGTATTATTTATTCTAGGGATTCAAGATACTTTAAGTCATTTTACACTTTAGGGGCAATTTTATTGTTTCACACTTCAAGGTTAATTCAATAACTCCAATATAGATTCAAATTTTAATTCAATGATTCCAAGGTTCAAGTGGATCAAAACATAAGTTTTTAGGTCGTCTCCCTAATCATAGACATCCGGGGAAGTCTTGATATTTTATTGTACAAGGACATTTTTGTAATTTTATCCAATAAGACTATTTTTTGTAATGTCTTATCCAAATATTCCCGATATTTAACCTTAAAAGTAATTAATCAAAATTTACGGATATTGAAGGCAATTCATTTTTTATTGAATCACCAAACTTATTATTTTTATTTCCGATTGATCTTCCACTATCTTAAGCGAGCCATATAAGTTATATATGGTTACCAACTTTTTATAGTATTCAGATTGAGTTTAGGAAGACATCACTGCATAAATGTGACCACCTATACTCATCCATGCAGAAATTAATAATGACATGTTCCATAAAGCATAAAACAGGTAGTAATATATTACCCCCATTTCTATTCCATACCGATCAACCATTTAGACTCCATTCGATCACTCTCGAACTTGAATCCAACATCCAATAATTCCTCGGATACAAAGCAAACGAATTTACGTCAGAAACTAAACTTGAATAAGAAACCAACTTGAATCCGATGATAAAACCTTGAAAAATGGCTTACCGGATGCGAATATGACAAAACGGACTTCAAAATTGAACTCATGACGTTAAAAAACATAAATAGGACTTTTTGGAAAATTTGACTTTTTCGGTCAAAGTCAATTGTCAACGGTCAACTCTAACTAAAGTCAACAGGTCGGGTCGGGTCAACATTTTGGGTAGAACAGATTGGTAAGGTTCTGCCTAGACCAGTTCCGGCCAGTCCAGACTGGCTGGACCAGTTCCAGAAATTTCTTGGACCGGCCGGATACCCCTACGCACATTGCCTGCGCATGGCGGTGGTCGGGAGCATTTACACTGGCTGATAACTCCTTACACAACCAGGAATTCATTTACACCCAAAACTAATCCAATATCACACTTAAACCATAACAAAACTCAACCACAAACCAAACGCAACTTACCCAAACAGAAGATCGACGACGGCGCGTCCACGGTGAATAAAACCGGTATGGTTTTAAGCGTACAACGTTGGTAAATCCAATGGTGCATGCAATGAGGCGAGACAACGCCGATGGAGGCCGAAATCATCGAAAATGAGCGATGGTCGGGGGGATTTTTGATAGACTTTCCTAGTGTGATTAACAACAAATGACGCCAATTCAGAACAGGCTAGGGGTCGGGTTTTAATCAACGTTGGATGGTGAGTCTATAGGTGTCTTAAGAGCGACGAACGGTGGCCGGATGACGACGAAATATGGTTGAAAAGGAGGGTTGATGGAAAGATGGATCTGGGGTTAATTTTTGGGGGGAAACCAGATTGATCGGGGAAGGGGGTTTAAATTTTTACAGATAATAAAAATGTGCAAACTCAAGTTCTAAACCTTGAACTTCATATTATTCTCACTTTGACGCCTAAATTTCCAAAAATTATCAACTAATCCATTATTTGTATTAAAAAATGATTTTAACTTCTTATTTAAATCGGGGTATAACATCTCTCCCCTCCTTAAAAGAATTTCATCCACGAAATTCATTCAGGTCATAGAACTTCATAAATGAAGTTTTCATCAGTTCTTCCATATCTTCACGTAGCTATTATAGAAGTACAAGTCCTTTACTAATCCTTAACCAGGTGAGTATACATTTCCTTCATAACTATACTCGA